AATTTGTCATTTAAAGAAATTTGCTGTTGACTCCATTTATGTAAACTTAGTGGTCCACACCTGAAAAAAGAATCCAGATTTTTCTGGACCATATTTTTGTTTTTGTTTTGTATTTTTTTGTTTGTTAGTTTGTTTGTTTTTGCCCTTTTCTTAAAAAAAGAAAGCTATGTCTGAATATAGAGTGTATCCTATATATCTCATATAGGATATAAATATATAAGATATAGCCTTTATAAAAAATAAACATATACAACATTTTAAGCTCTGAATTCGGATTGCCTAACTGGGTGACCTCAGGCAAGTTACTAAACCTATCTTAACTTTGATTGCCTCATTTAGAAAACAGGTAATTGTAACTACTTTTATGGAGCTGTGAAGATTAACTGAGGTAATAAGTGTAAAATGTTTAGCATATTGTTTAGCAGAGGAAGCTTAGTAAATGTTACTAACTATGAATTTTCTGGTGACTTCTGTGTTCAATAAATATCCATCTTAAATTAAATAACAATTAAGTTACATTATTAAATATATGGATTATACTTTCATTTTTATTTTTACATCATAGGTGGTTTTTTCTCTAATTGATTTTTTTTGTTTGTTTGTTTGTTTTAGGTCACTTTTCACATAGAGCCATATAGCAATCGAGATGATCAAAACATGTACAAAAATGTCAAGTATATTATAGACAAGTGAGTTTCTTCAGTGTTTATAATAACTTTTATATGATCCCATTGGATTGATAATTATTCTTATGAGTACAATGAAATTATATTGGAGACACTTAAATGTTTTATAATCTGACATTTGTAATGAAATTAAGCTATTTTTGTAAGGAATGTCACAATCATTTTGAGGAACCTGACATTTGTAATGAAATTAAGCTATTTTTGTAAGGAATGTCACAATCATTTTGAGGAACATTTCTGAAGTTCCTTATAATTTACTCTCTGTGTGCATAAAGATTGCTATTTTTATTTATAATTATTTATTTATAATTTCTGTTATATTGATATTTTAAATTGATATTATTTTAGAAGTCTTATGAATACAGAGTTTTTTTAAAAAAAATAAGGTTCAGATTTTGAAATGTGAACTGATTTTATAGCAATGGACACACATCTAATATTTTCATTTGTATCTAATATGACTACAAGGAAAGAATTTATTAACACAGTTTTATTTTGTTTAAGGATTTTACTGAAAATAGTCTATGACAGATACCATACTCTTACAAAGAAACTGATCAGTAACAGTGGACGTTTATTAGTGATATAAAAAATGTAGTTTATATATTCATGTAGAAAATAATGGACTTTTTATGGCATTAGTCATCATTTGTAAACCTCAGTATGAGATCACTAATCTCTTGTTTGGTAATGTCTTCATGTATCTAGTGTCTCATTTTCTAATGTGTGAAATTAAAAATGCATTTTTAATTATTACACTTATATAACTGATTCTCCAAAGAAGGTGAATAATGTGCTTAAACTGCACTGATTATCTTCATTTTCAATACATCAATAGATTTTGTCTATGGTAAATGAATTGTGACTATTCATTTAACGTTTACATATGTTTGTATTCTAGATATGGAAATCATCCAGCCTTTTACAGGTACAAGACAAGCACTGGCAATGCTCTTCCTTTGTTTTATGTCTATGATTCCTATATCACAAAGCCTGAAAAATGGGCCAATCTGTTAACCACCTCAGGGTCTCAGAGTGTTCGCAATTCTCCTTATGATGGATTGTTTATTGCACTTCTAGTAGAAGAAAAACATAAACATGATATTCTTCAAAGTGGTTTTGATGGAATTTACACATATTTTGCTACAAATGGCTTTACTTATGGCTCATCACATCAGAATTGGGCTAGTCTAAAATTCTTTTGTGATAAACACAACCTAATATTTATCCCAAGTGTGGGCCCAGGATACATAGATACCAGCATCCGTCCATGGAACACTCAAAACACTCGGAACCGAATCAATGGGAAGTATTATGAAACTGCTCTGAGTGCTGCACTTCAGACCCGCCCCAATTTAATTTCTATCACCTCTTTTAATGAGTGGCATGAAGGAACTCAGATAGAAAAAGCTGTTCCCAAAAGAACCAGTAATACAGTATACTTGGATTATCGGCCTCATAAACCAGGTGTTTATCTAGAATTAACTCGCAAGTGGTCTGAAAAATACAGTAAGGAAAGAGTAACTTATGCATTTGATCACCAGCTGCCTGTTTCTTAATGTACTTTAAACTTAAAGTTTAAAAATTATTGAAATACCTAATTTTAATAAATGTCTTTTCTTTTGAATTATGGAAAAAAAACTGTCAAAATCAGTATGTACTGTTACTGTTATCTTTAATAAAAATAATTTTTACTGCTTTAAACGTAATATTACCATTGCCATCCTTCACAATACTGTACTGAGAAAATATCTGAGGGGAAAATTGTGCAAAGAACATTCCTTGAGCATAATTTGCTGCATGCATTTCTGACTGAAACTGAATTTCTGATTTGATGATAATTTAATTTTCATTTCACAGTGGATTAAAGCTTGTGTTGCATAAANCTAAAACTAAATCTCTTAAAAATCTGATATATATGCTATTGCATAAATGTTATTTCTTAGATATTTAATTCTATTAAGAGAAGTAAATTTTCAGAGTATAAAGACATTCAGAAACATAAATTAGCACTGAAATTAATCATAAAATAGCCCATCAGATGGTAAAATTTAAACAATGGTTCTGAAGTTAAATATCAAGTTTTTGAGAAGAGACACCATTAATGTTAAACTTATTTATAACTTAAGAATTTTCCATTTCTCAGAGAATGATCAGGCCATAGGAAATTAGTACAATAGTAATTATTTTCTAGGGGAAATTACAAGTATAAATCAGTATATTAATATTTTGATATAACCAAGCACCTTCATAGGCGCAATCATACAGATATAACCTGTGGATTTTTTTCTCATGTACAGTTAGCCACTATATTTTATTTTAGAGATAAATTATAAATATACTTAATAATAATCTTTTAGTAATATATTTTAGTAAAGTTTTGAGAACTATCTATTGTAAAGGAGTTTTTGTCATCACTTATATTGTATATTTGTGCCCACTGTGACAGAAAATAAATTTTATGAAATAGTTCTGAGATTAAGGGAAAGTCTATAAAAACAAGTCAGCAAATCCTCAACACAGGTACCGCCACTTTCTATCTTGTTCCTATTGCAGACATAGATAATCCATTTCTGCATACTTTACCTCTGAGCTTTGTTGTGATTCTCCAACATATTACCCCAGCCAGCCGTAGCAGTCAGATTTGAAAGTAAGATAAAACAGATTCTGTCTTCATTGTACAAAGTTATTCTCCAAAGAAGAATGTTTGGAATCTGATCTCATAATGGCTTACTAGTTTATAATTATATGAATATCTGCTTTTTTTCCTCATTTAAAAAAATAATTATTAGGAATTACCTCTAATAATTTTGTGAATTCTGAGGGAGGAATGCTTTCAAAATCATCCTCTGTTATTCATTACAGCTGCCTTTACCATTTGACCTGTAACAGTATAGATTGCATGATCATAAGTATGTAAGAGTAAAGAATTGACTTCTTAATTTAAAAAAAACTATGAATTCAATAAACAAAAATAACTGTTAATACAGAAAGTGATATAATATATGCAGTGCATGAATCACAATGGATTCTTTTATGTTATTCATTTTTTATGGTTTATTTACGTCTAATTGTTTTGACTGTATAGAAACCAAATATTTTATTGCTCCCTTTATGGACTAATATTGTCAAATTAATATGCTGTTATTAATGTTTATTAATATTAATGTTGTATATTAATATTTTTCTGTTTTAAGGCTGTAACTTAAGAAATGACTATTTTGTTATAAAGTAGTTAACTTTCATCTAATAAAAGCATACATGAAATACATTTTATCTTAAAGAGAAATGAATATTTTAATATCTATGAAATATTTTAATTTTTGATTAACAGATGAAAAGTAGTATTCAGTCAGCATTCTTTATATATTTTCTCTATTAAGATGTGCAGCAATTAAAATAGATATCTTTAGCAGTACATACTTTTTAAATCTCTGAATTTATTATAGGTAAGTATACACATATACAGTTTTTAAAAATTTGGGAGATGTTTTTCCATTGTTTTCTTCTTTGGGTATAATCAAATATTAGCTCTGACATCTGTTAAGAAATTGTCTTCTAAAACAGCAAGAAATAAGCTACTAGAGAACCTACCAGGTTCATAAATATGTGCTTTTTCAAAATGATCATAGTTATTCATAAATGTGATGAATGCTCCTAAACTCTGTAGTGCCTACAGAAACAGTCCTTAAAAATATACCTCTAAATTTTGAATTAATGATCAAGCACTCTCATGTTCTGTAATGTAGAAAAGCAATATTTATTTACAATCAGCAAAATTTCAGTTATTTTGGGCCGAGCCCAGGGCACAATCGGGAGAGTGTGACGCTGGGAGCGCAGTAGCACTCCCACCGCAGGTTCGGATCCTATATAGAGATGGCCGGTGTGCTCACTGGCTGAGCGCGGTGCGGCCGGTCTCAAAAAAAAAAAAAAAAATACAGCACACATTCAAATCCTACTTGCATCCTGGGTCCAAAGAAATAGGAGTATGTATATATTTGGCATGTCTATTGAAAAAAAAAGACCTAAAAGGGGACATGTTTTATTTCTAATTTTTTTCAGTGATTCAATCAACTTTATTATGTAGTATTTAGACTCTGGATAACTGTCCGGTAATGATGAAATTCTTAATAATAATAAGATGACTGTACCTCTCAATTTTACTGTGAACCTAAAACTGCTTCAAATAATAGTCTATTTTTTTTTTTTAAATTATGTACCTTAAGCCTTACTGTGAACCATATTGTGTTAGGAAGCACAATATGTATTGTCATTTGCAGGTTGATTATCTATAGCATGCTAGGTGTTTTGCATGTTTAGTGTTTCTGCTTCACTATGCTGAGTTACTGATTTTAGAACCTATGGAGAGTACTTTAATAAAAGTTAATTGCTTCCCAATTATTAGGAAAATGTTTGTTTCACAATTATTATAAAGATCTAATGCCCAAAATATTATTTTTTAGGACATCTTGTCAATCTTTAACTTGTTATTATTCTATTATATGTATCTTCAAATTTAATGTAATCAGAGACCAACTGT